GGAGCTCGCGGCCTCCCAGCTGCGCTACTCGGTACCCGAGGAGCAGGCTCCGGGTGCCCTGGTGGGCAACGTGGCGAACGCCCTGGGGCTGGAGCTGCGGCGCCTGGGGCCCGGCTGCCTGCGCATCAGCCATCTGGGCGCGCCCAGCCCACGGTACCTGGAGCTGGACCTGACCAGCGGGGCGCTCTTCGTCAACGAGCGCATGGACCGGGAGGTCCTGTGTGAGCAGCGGCCTCGCTGCCTGCTCAGCCTGGAAGTGTTGGCGCACAGCCCCGTGGCGGTGAAATCCGTGGAGGTGGAGGTATTGGACATCAACGACAACTCGCCGCGCTTCCCACGGCCTGACTACCAGCTGCAGGTAAGCGAGTCCGTGGCTCCCGGAGCGCGCTTTCACATAGAGAGCGCGCAGGACCCGGACGTGGGCGTCAACTCCGTGCAGACGTACGAGCTCAGCCCCAGCGAGCACTTCGAGTTGGACCTTAAGCCCCTGCAGGAGAACAGCAAGGTCCTGGAGCTGGTGCTGCGCAAGGGACTAGATCGCGAGCAGACGGCCTTGCACCACCTGGTTCTCACAGCAGTGGACGGGGGCAGTCCAGCCCGCTCGGGCACGGCGCAGATCTCTGTGAGGGTCCTGGACACGAACGACAACTCTCCCGCTTTTGACCAGTCCACTTACCGGGTCCAGCTGCGGGAGGACGCACCCCCGGGTACCCTGGTGGTGAAGCTGAATGCCTCAGATCCGGATGAGGGCTCCAATGGCCAGCTCAGGTACTCTTTGAGTGGCTACACATCGGACCGGGAGAGGCAGCTCTTCAGCATCGACGCCAGCACCGGGGAAGTGCGTGTGAGTGGAGCTTTGGATTATGAGGAGGCCTCGTCCTACCAGATCTATGTGCAGGCTACTGACCGGGGTCCAGTGCCCATGGCAGGCCACTGCAAGGTACTGGTGGACATCATGGACGTGAATGACAATGCACCAGAGGTGATGCTCAGGGACCTGTATAGTCCAGTGCCTGAGGATGCTGCTCCCAACACTGTTGTGGCCTTTCTCAGCATCAACGATCAAGACTCGGGCCCTAACAAGAAAGTCAGCTTGAGCTTGGAGGCCACCCTGCCTTTCCGACTGAATGGCTTTGGGAGTTCCTACACACTGGTTGTGAGTGGCCCATTGGACCGAGAACGGGTGCCTGCCTACAACATCACAGTGACAGCCACCGATGGGGGCATACCACAACTCACATCCCAACGGACACTGCATGTTGAGATCTCTGACATCAATGACAATCCACCAAGCTTCCTGAAGGACTCCTACTCGGTCTATGTCCAGGAGAACAACTTGCCAGGGGTGTTGCTCTGCACGGTGCAAGCTGAAGACCCAGATGAAAAAAAGAACGCGGAGGTGACCTATTCCCTTTTGGAGAGGGAGATTCAAGGGCTGCCAGTCACCTCCTATGTCTCCATTAACAGTGCCAGTGGCAGCCTTTATGCTGTCAACTCCTTTGACTATGAGAAGTTCCGGGAGTTCTATGTGACTGTGGAGGCCCAGGACAAGGGGAGCCCACCACTGAGTAGCACTATGACTGTCAATGTTTATGTGGTGGACATGAATGACCACGCCCCTAACATTCTGTACCCTACCTCAACCAATTCATCAGCAGCCATTGAGATGGTGCCTCGGACTGCCCCTGCTGGCTATCTGGTCACCAAAGTCATAGCCATGGACTCAGATTCTGGGCAAAATGCTTGGCTCTTTTACCATCTGGCCCAGACATCTGACTTGGACCTCTTTAAAGTAGAACAGCACACAGGAGAAATAAGGACTACCAGGAAGATAGGAGATGAGAGTGGTGCCGCTTACAACCTGACTGTGGTGGTACGAGACAATGGAGAGCCATCCCTGTCAGCGTCTGTGGCCATTACGGTAGCTGTGGTGGACAGGGTTGCCAGGATCCTCCCTGACACCCAGAGACACGTTAAGAGCCCTCGGACATACTCTGAACTTACACTTTATCTTATAATTGCATTAAGCACAGTGTCTTTTATATTTCTTTTGACAATCATTGCTTTGAGCATCATCAAGTGCTACCGCTACACTGCATATGGCACTGCATGTTGTGGAGGCTTCTGTGGAGTGAGGGAGCGGTGTCCCACAGAGCTGTACAAACAGGCCAACAACAATATCGATGCCAGGATACCACAAGGCCTCAAAGTGCAACCACACTTCATTGAAGTGCGAGGGAATGGCTCCCTCACCAAGACCTACTGCTACAAGGCCTGTCTGACAGCAGGCTCAGGGAGTGACACTTTCATGTTTTACAACACAGGGGCCCAGACAGGACCAGGGTCTGGGACAGCAGTGACTGACAGCAGGCACCTCACAGGCCAGAGTGGGCAGAGTGCCGGGAACCTGATCATTCTCAAAAATGAGGCTGCTTCACAGAATGAGGTGAGGCTGCGAAGAGAGTGATTGCGTCTTCCACAAACTCATGCATTTTTATATACCCCCCAATATCAGGGAGATCATCTTTACTGAGTTGACAATGACGGGGGTTATCTGGCATGATGTTTCCTTTCTAGAATGGCGACACTAGAGAATTGTCTTACTGTCCACCCTTCCCCCCACATGTATGAGGGCTGTCTATAAAATCCTTTGAGAAATTAGGACTAGTTTTAAATATTTGTAGAGGAATAAAACCAGCCCGAGAACAAGGGTCTCTTTATATCTTTATGTGCTTTACAGAGTAACAGCATTATATTCAAGGAGAAATAGCTGCTGCTGCTGCTGTATCATCCACAGGAAAAGTTTGTCTAGAAATTCTGAAGGAGTGTTTTTTTGTTTTTAAAGTTCTGAGACCTGCAAGGACTCTATAGGATGTCCATCTTTGGATACATTGAATCATCTACACTGAAAAGTATCCAGTTAATATTGCCCATAACTGTACTGAAGTGATGTGATAGGATCATTGGGAATTTGTGTCCGAGGGAGTAAAGTCAGAGAACGTGGGCCTCCGCCCACAGACAGTGTTTGACTGTATAATGTAGTGACTGTACGAGGAGGCTCCTATTGGAGAAAATGACAGCAAAGCAGAGAGGTGAAGTATCCGCTTGTCTTGTGGAGCCTGAGACATTAGAATGAATGCAGTGGGGATGCAGAGGATGGCGAAGGCCAGAACAAGCTGGGGAGGAAGATGAGACAAAAGGACTTCTCCACAAGGCACTTTTGATTGACAGACTCGATTCTCTCTGAGAAGAGTTCTTTCCATTCAGTTTAAATACAGTCTGAAATCCTTGATCTTTTTTTGCCGGCCGTTCCTATGATTTTTATGAATGTGAAGTGGCCTCCACAAGTCTCTCTTATCTTTAAGTAAAATGCCCATACTTCCAAAGCATTTTCCTTTTCTAAATCTAAAATTGGATTTGCAATGGCCACAAAAGGCTTCCTGTACATGCAGACAGATGTTAATACATGCACTAGTTTTGAATTGTAGGTAGACATGAGGCCAGCTTGCTCAGTATTATGATGAAATCATGAAAACTATTATAAAGTGCATGGATGTGTGTGTGTGTGCATGTGTGTGCTTATGTGTACCTCTGTGTGTGATGCTAATCTCTATATGTCTGCTTGAAATAATAGAGATATGTTTGTGCTACTTTGAACTTGGATTTCTTAAGTCAAATCTTTTCCCCGTAAGGGTGATGAATCTGATAGACACGAAGCCACTATTTTGTACCAAGATTTTCAGAGTTACTACAGAAGGAGTTAACATTTTTGTCCCTCCTATGTTTTTTTTGGATATAATTTTTACAGTATCTTTAATACCTGTATTTCAAATGTCCCAAGTTCTCTCTTTTTAAAAAAACATTTTTTAATAATCTTTTTATTGGGGGCTTGTACAACTCTTATCACAATCCATCCATCTATCCATTGTGTCAAGCACATTTGTACATTTGTTACCATCATAATTCTCAAGCCATTTTCTTTCTACTTGAGCCCTTTGTATTAGCTCCCCATTTTTCCTCTCCCTCCCCACCCCTTTTCCTCACAAACTCTTGATAATTTATAAATTATTATTGTTTTGTCATGTCTTACACTGTCCAATTTCTCCCTTCACCCACTTTTCTGTTGTCCACCCCCAAGGAAGGGGTTATATGTAGATCCTTGTGATCGGTTCCCCCTTTGTACCCCACCCTCCCCCTACCCTCCCAGTATCGCCACTCTCACCACTGGTCCTGAGGGGTTCATCTGTCCTGGATTTCCTGTGTTTCCAGTTCCTATCTGTACCAGTGCACATCCTCTGGTCTAGTCCAAGTTCTCTTTTAAACTGGAGAACTCATGTAAAGTGGAGGTGGTGAGATGAGACTCTCCCATGTACATGCAGGTAGATGTCAGAGGAGCCTGATGCTAGTCAGTGCTGAGCATCCATCCCCAAGAGACAGACTGCAGATCAAGAAAACCAGGGGGGTGGAAAATCAAAGCATTTTCAGAAATCTCTAGTTCTGTAGCATCTGGAAGCATATAAAAAGGCTTAGATTTAAATATGGATGCTGTAGACATTTGCTTAATAAATTCCTGAGAAGCCTTTTGGGACTGGGGTGGGTTGCACATGGTTGCGAGGCTTAGGCAAGGCTCAGCTCTGTCATCCGTTGTGAGTGCTAAGCCCAGAGGAAAGACACTTTTGCACTCTTGCCCTCCTTTTGGCTCAAAGCTTGGGGCAGTTTGAAACATGAACTATTCCTATCTTTTACTGACCCATATGTTAACATGTGCTGTGGTACACAAACCTTTGCTCTAGGATAAGAGTTATGTCAGGAAGTGCATGCTCTTATGGGTCGTTGCCAGGAGAGCACACATGGTTTTAATAAAGGCAGATTTCTGCCAGACACTTGAAAATTCAGTGAAAAGCCCCAAGATCTTCCGCTTCTGAAATGATTGCAATTATAGGAAGAACGATGACTCACACTGTCATAGCGTGGTGAAGTAGGCACTGAAATCTCTCAGCTCTGAAAGCCAGTCCCCATGCTGAGCTTTCTCTTTGTCTTGCCTGTTCACTAAAAAGAGTAGGAGAGGCCCAGGGTGCAGTCAATGCCGTGTGCCCACATTTGTAAGGTGGATTGGATTAGAACGAAAGAGTAAGAGAATTTGTATCCATTGGCCCTTCTCTATGTACAAGATAGTCTGCTTTGTAATATTTTCTGATCACATTATATGTAAGTTTTCCATTGAATATTGACTGGCATCTTGCATACGAGGAAACAAGATCAGAGAGGTCAGGTAACATTCATGATCACACTGCCAGTGATAATTTTAGAGCATATCTGTCTGCTTCCAAAGATTGTGCTTTTGAGAAGAGCGTAACCTGGATAGCGTTTCCCAAACATGAAAATCCTTAGGAGAGCAGGCAGCTCTCATCTTTCCTGAGAAGGAGCTGGTGGGGTTAAACCACTGACCTTGCGGTTAGCAGTGCACACCTGACAACACCACCAGGCTCCTTCGACTCAACCACTCACCACCATCACGTCAATTCTAACCCATAGTGACCCTCTAGGGCAGAAAGAACTGCCCCTGTGGGTTTCAGAAACTGTAACTCTCTGGGAGAAAGGCCCATCCTTTCCCCAAAGAGCAACTAGTAGTTTCCAACTGCTGGCCTTACAGCCGAATGCATCACCACTATGCCACCAGGGCTCCTCCAGGGCTCCTTAGGAGGCAGAAATTCCAACATTTATACTTTTTTTTTTTTGGTACATGATACTCAGGCATGTAGGCTACCACTAGTTCACCTAGTCATGTAAAGTACCTGCTTTTGCATAGAAGAAGGAGCCCTGGTAGCACCACGGTCAAATGCTTGGTGCTAACCGAATGGTCAGCAGTTGCCCAAGGGAGAGAGATGTTGCAACCTGCTCTGTGAAGATTCACAGCCGTGGGAATCCTATGGAGCAGCACTACACTGTCCTCCGAAAGCCCTCTTGAATCAAATTGACATGAGTGAGTTTGGTTGGTTTTGCATAACAGAAGGTATCAACGGAGTGATACCTTCGGTGAATAAAAATGTTACTTCCAGGCGAATCTATTTTCTGAATTTGTTTGCTTTACTATTGGAAAAGCCCATTAAGGGCTTTTATCGCTGTTCTGTCATGGATTTCTCTCTTCTTGCTTATTAAACACCAGCAGTTAACACCAGGCTCTAATCTTTTTGTGGATTTTACCTGCCGTGAACTTATTTCATGAGCCACTTGTGCAATGAGATTTTTTGCAGTAACTAGCTATGGGACAGAATTTCTCTTTGGAGATTTATAAAAACCTAACAGTGAATGTGGTTGGCCGTCCATTCTCCTTGAAAAGGTACTCAATCTCACGGTGGATTCTGTGCATTTGTGGTTTGGGTACTGTGATTGCTGATGAGTGACTCTGCTAATAATGAGCAGGTTTGTCTAGCTGCCTTGGGGACCAGCTGGCAGGCAGGTAGACTGTATAAAAGGGTAGCAGAGATACTTGCAGTGGTAGTGACCTGAGAAAGTTCACCCTTCTTTCCACGGTACGTAATTAATTTCCCTGAGGACTGTCTTTTTTATCTAGTGAGTCTGTCTTGGGACCAGTTTACGTTCCAAGTAAATGGTATGAAGATGAATCTATAAAAATTGTATAATGGTCAGATATACAATATCTGACAAAAATAAGGCAGAACAAATCATATCTATGCACTCTCTTTTCTGTGCTTCCTCCTCTGAGGTTCCTTTTTGAGTGGTTGGGCTGTTTTGTTTTGCAATTTACATTTGGTTATGGGACTGTTCTGAGAAAATGTTCATGTATAATATAATCATTTCTCTAAACTACCTCCTTCCTCCCCCTTTTCTATAGACCTTCTCAGCCAGATGGAATTATGGCTGCGTTCCACTTTGTCTCTTTATCTTGCACACATTCTGACAGTGGAGAAATCTACTTACTGTAGCTGGGATGTCATTGGCTTACCCTTTCGTCTGACCCAGGGGTGAGCCACCACATGGGCATCTGGTCTGACTCAGAATACTCTGCAGGGGCACGGCCTGCCATGATATAAATTGTCTATTGGCATGCTGTCTGTTTGACAGAGTAGCAGAGCCAGTTCTTGCCTTGGTTGTCTACCAATTTCTGCTCTCCATGTGGGGTCAAAATTATGCCAGTTTGAAAATTTGGAGAATTGGAGTCACCACACCCACTGATTTAACCCAATTTGATGGGGCTTTACAGGTGTTTTTGAAAGTGAATTTTGCTGGGTTTCACATGCATATGAAAAGATTGTGTATATAAAAAATAATAACCACTATTTTAAAAAAAGCAAAAGTTAATAGGATTCCTCAGTAGTATTTTCAATGTACCTAGTGTAAAAATTATGCGTGCTTTGCCTTTCAAGGATTTGAATTTGAAAAAATGCAAAGAAAGCTCAGACATTGCAAAGGGGAAGGAAATGC